GATACAGTGCACTCTTACTCAAATAGAATTATGCTGTAAAAGGATAAAAGTTTCCCTTGTGTCCAACACTAGGGGGCAGTGTTCATCTCCATTTCCTAGTTGAGGGAACTGGCATTGTCGAATTATTCCATGGTCATAAATATATGCCGAGGTGCACAGAATGCTGTTATCTTCCCGCTGAAGTGATGCCTATTTATCTACATGCATTTGCTTGCTTTCAAACTGCTAGATGGGTAGGAGCTGTGGCAAGGACGGGAGCTGACCCTGTCACATTATCCTTTGGTCTCGGACTGCAAAGCTTCCAGTAAATTTTATACACAAGCTAAAGAGGATTGCTGATCAATTCCTCCCCCCCCCCAGTAAATGCAAAAAGGCATCAATTATTAGAATTGATATACAATATTTTAAAAATACTTGCCCATTGATTTTATTGACACTGTGAGTAATGACTTCAAGGGACTACATGTTATTAATTTTAAGCTTGTGTTTTGATATTTTCCAGGGGTATTACAAAGTCCTGGGCAAAGGAAAGCTGCCCAAGCAGCCTGTCATTGTGAAAGCAAAATTCTTCAGCCGAAGAGCAGAAGAAAAAATAAAGGAAGTTGGAGGAGCCTGTGTCCTAGTGGCATAAATGTTTATATATGTATCCATACTAAATCACAGGCATGAATAAACTATTTCAGATGTTGGAATTACTTTTCATCAGAATATTCTCGCAATTACATTCAATACTAGAAAGTTGATTTTTGAGAGGAATTGTAGAACTGGAAAATAACATTTAGGCCACCAATCCAATTTCCAGGTTTGCGTTCCTCTCAGGAATTAGGAAATCACCTCCTCCCCAGTTAGTTAATTCCACTATCAAAATTACGTTTACAGTAGTTTTTTTTCCAGTGCTTAAAGTTTTTTATTAGTGCTTAAAGCAGAATGTTCCATTTTCCTTGTTCCATATCTTGCATTGTGGGATAATAGAAAATTGCCTAGCCACATGTATGATATTGTCCCTTGTACTTGAATGTTGTATTTGCATCACAACAATCTTAATAAAAATAGACAATTCCCACAGTCTTATAACAGTGGGAATAATACTCCCTATTATCCTTTGCTATTTTATTCTGAATTGTGGCACTGAGGGACACCCCAACTTATCTTTAAATCCTACGCTGACAGTGTTGGGTAGGATTAAATCTATCCTAGAGGAAAAAAAGCTGAAAAAATAAGTATTATGAATGCAAAATTACAGCCAAGGCACGTCAAATGTCTTGACAATGGTCCAGCTGTAGCCACTGCTACTTGCCTAGTTAATGAGGAAGAGCCTAGTGATGTAGTCAAGAATGAACTCTCCACTCGGAGTGGGCAGACATTTCTTTCCAGGTGCTGCCTGGGAAAGAAGGTTAAAATGACACTACCTTCCTTGATTGGAGTTTGTCTCATAAAATGGAACAAAGCAAGAAAGGATCAAGCCCAGGAGATGACAGAGAAGTGGGAAAGAATACAAAGGCAACATCTCAGCAACAGTTTTTCTACAGCAAAAGGAAAGTTCAAGACTATCTGAAGAAGTTTTGGGAAGAACAAGAATCTCACCAGTCTGCAAACCCAGTGTGCAACAGTTCAGAAGTGGAATTCATAAATCTGTTTCACAAACAGATGGGGGAGGGAGAAAAAATTATTCACAAGTCCAGAAGAGCAAAAATCATTTTCACATTCGAACGGACTGAGATTGGCTATTGCAAGAACTGAAGACTTGGAAATAGGAAGAAAAGGAAAGACTGAAAGAGTTAAGATAGGACTACAGATAGAAATGTAGATATAGAACATAAATGTTTGTAAATTTATAGTAACAGGAAGATTTTAGATCAGTGGTTCTCAACCTTTTTAATGCCGCGACCCCCAACCGGTCGTAAGTCTACTCAACTGGTGCAGCACCGTTTGCAGAATGGGACTTTTGGCGGGCTCAGCAGGGCAGAGACAGCCTGGACAATTCCTATTGGCTTTTGAAAGCCAATAGACTCTATTCAAGAGAGTCTATTCTATTGGCTTTCAAAAGCCAACAGAATAAAAGGGAGTAGCACAGCTAAGGAAAAGGGGGAAAAAATGGCGGACTGCGTTGTTTGGCGACCCCCTGAAATGGTCGTTCGACCCCAAATGTGGTCCCGACCCAGAGGTTGAGAACCACTGTTCTAGATAAAGACAAGAAAATAGAAACAATTACTATTGAAAGGAACAGGAATTCGTTACAACAAAAGTTTTGTGAGAAAATTCAAATGTACTGTCTGATCTATACCAGATTAAAAAAAAAACATGATAGACTGTAATGATGTGTGGGACATTGGCACTTTGTGGCCAAAGGGGTTGCATACTATTTTAAAAATATAATGATTTGACCCAGTTGGTGACTGTTGAGGTTATTAGCAACACAGACCCAGTGTGATGTGCCCAGAATGTAAGAATACTACAGGTGACCAGCGCAGAATACAAAGGGACAATTTTCTATAATTTCAAAATTATAATTTATTGAAAAAAAAAACTTTTTACAATTTAGAATAGAATAGAGCTGGAAGGGACCTTGGAGGTCTTCTAATCCAGCCCCCTGCTCAAGCAGCAGAATCTATACCATCGCAGACAGGTGGTTATCTAGTCTCTTCTTAAAAATCTCTAGTGATGGAGCGCCCACGATTTCTGGAGGCAAGCTGTTCCACTGGTTGATTGTCCTCACTGTCAGGAAGTTTCTCCTTAATTTCAGGTTGCTTCTCTCTTTGATCAGTTTCCAGCCATTGTTTCTTGTCCTTCCCTCTGGTGCTCTGGTGAACGTGACCCCCTCTTCCTTGTGGCAGCCCCTCAGATACTGGAATGTTGCTATCATGTCTCTACTATTTCTTCTTTTCTTTAGACTAGCCAAACCCAAGACCCACAGCCATTCTTCATATGTTTTAGTCTCCAGGCCTTTGATCATCTTGTTCTTCTCTGAAATTTTTCCAAACTCTCAACATCTTTTTTGTGATATGGTGACCAAAATTGGCTGTGGTATTCCATGTGTGGTCTCTAGGGTTTTATAAAGCTGTACTAATACTTTGCATGATCTTGATTCTATGCCTCTGTTTATACAACCCAGGATTGTATTAGCTTTTTTGGTTGCTGCACAAGGTCCCTCTCACAGTTACTGTTTTTAAGTCAGGTCTTCCCAATCTGTACTTGTACCTTTGCTTTTGCTGCCTAAATGTAAAACTTTGCTTTTCTCCACATTGAAACTCATTTTGTTGGATACGGCCCATTGTTCAAGTTTGTCTACATATTTTTGGATCCTGAGTTTGTCTTCTGGGTATTGGCTACTCCTGTCAGTTTGGTGTCATCTGCAAATTTGATCAATTCCCCCATCTAAATCATTGATGAAGATATTGAAGAGTACTGGGCCTAAGACGGAACCTTGGGGTACCCCAATGCTTACTTCTTTCCATGTGGATGTAGTGCCATTGAGGACTACTTATTGAGTACAGTTTGTCAGCCAGCTACAGATCCATCTGATGGTAATATTGTCTATTCCATCTTTTTCCAATTTACGAAGGAGTAGGTTGTGGTCTACTTTATCAAATGCCTTACTGAAATCTAAGTATACTACGTCCACAGTATTTTGCTGGTCTACTAGTTTAATCACTCTGTCAAAGAATGAAATAAAATTGGCTTGGCATGATGTTTTTAACAAATCCGTGCTGGCTACTGGTTATGACTTTGTTTGCAGATCTGTTTTTTGATTTATCTTTTCTAGGATCTTCCCAGGTATTGATGTTAAACTGATTGGTTTGTAGTTTCCTGGGTCCGTTTTACCCCCCTTTCTTGAAGATGGGAATCACACCAGCCCTTTTCCAATCCTCAGGTACTTCCCCGATGCTCCAGGATTTATGAAAGATATGGTGCAATGGTTCTGAGATAACATCTGCCAGCTCTTTCAGAACTCTGGGATGTAATCTGTTGGTTCCCATTGATTTATATTCGTCAAGGTGTTCTCTTACCATTTTCTTGCTTATTTTAATTTTTGTTTCTAGTTGTGTTCCAGAGCTGGCTCTCATTCTGTTGCTGGCTGCCTCCACGTGCAGCCATTCATTCGATGCGCTCCTGTTTGCTGGTATTTTCCTCCTTGCCCCAATTTTTTCTTTTCCTTTATCCTTTCTATCTTCCTTATCTAACTTTCTGCTTCTTTTTCCTCCCCTCTACTAATACCTTCCTACTTAGTTTGGTTACTTCTCTCCCCGTGATCCGATACTGCTTACTTTTGATTAGCTACAATTTTGGGATCCTTGCAGATGCTATTGCCAAGCCAAGTAACCCCCATCCTGTATCTTCAGATTCCCTTAATCAAAGCACTGTACTTGTTATCTAATCAAGAGGGTAGAATATCTTTGTGGAAAATGCTAGAATGTTAAAATGTCATTTGGAATAAAGGCAGGGCATTCACAATTGAGGTATATGAAATCATGTCTAGCATGGAGAAAAGTTTCTGGACAGACCAAAGAAAGCAGTTTTTACTGTGCCCTACTAAATTGGGAAATTCATTATTACAAGACTATCCTGAAAGGTAAGAAAGCTGAGTACTTACTATCTTACTCATATGTAATCTCTATCTCTGATAAGCATTTCCTCTACCATTGAAATTAACAATGAAGTCTAAAAATCTAGATTTGAACCTTGTGGGGTTTTTTTCCGTCTGAAACTTTCAAAAATATCTTTACAAGTTTTGAACTTTGCAGTTCTAATATCTATTCCTCACTGCCTCCTTTCTAGGATTGAGGGAGACAAAATGGTTCAAGGTCACTCAGTTTGCTTTGTGTTTGAAGTGGTACTAAACACCAAACTGGTTCTCCATAATAAATAAATGTTTTTAATTAATAAGCAACATCATCTTATTGCTATAAATAAAACAGAATATTGGGAACTGCTAGAACATGGGAATTTCATTTCAATCCTCAAAATCTGATGCCCAAATAATTAAGCAGAAATCAATCAGCTTTGATTTTTATAGATTTTTATTGAAATATAAAGATTTCACATTACTTCATCACTTTTTCAGTTGCAGATGAATTCTGTAATCAATTACTAAAGCGCCTTCTTTTCTCCGATTCTATAGTATCCCTGAAAAAAAAAATCAAAAGTAGTATTCAATTTATATCAATTTACCATTATATAATCAGGCTTGTTTTGTCTACCAGTTTATAGCAATGCAGCAGCCTCTCTTCAATATTAAAATAGTAAACCTCATCTTTTACATCTGCCAGCTATATCAGGCCTTCTTTCTGAGGCTGCTTCTTCCAAGCCACATGGACTACTCTTTCTCTAAATAGGGCATGCATTATGAGCAGGCGGAGAAAAATGAATGGGTTAATGAGATTAAGCTAGGCATCCAAAACTTGGGGACCACATAGTGGTGGGGCAACTGGGACTTTGCACAATATTAGTGTGATTGGCTGGAGTGTGGGGAGTTGGGTGGCATTTCTCAGTGGCAGTGGGTGGCACTGGGGCTGAAGTTGAGGCCAGGGAGAAAATGCTAAAGGCTCTGGGCCTTTTATTTCAGCTCCAACCCTAGTGACGCTGTGCGGGGGGGGGGGAGTGTATATAAGCAATGAATTAAGATTAGTAGTCTTCCCAAAGGAATCCTAGCATTGCAAAATGTATCACAATACCTGGAAACAAAAGGTATTGCAGTTAGATTTCACTTTCTGTTTACAGAACAATGTAACAAATCTAACAAGCCTGATATACTAATATCTACAGAAATACATAAGACAATATAGATTCTAGGGAGAATTCTACACAAGCATAGAATTAGGCAAATCCTGACTCACTGATAGAGAACTTTAAAATTTGCTAACTACTAAGTTTAAACATGTACCAAAATAGAAAAATCAAAGTCAATGCCTATTTGAAAACATCTGAAATAATTTTAATAGTACATAGAATACAATAATCAACTAATTATCCATGTTTTGGGGCACAATTTCAGGTATGAGTGAAGCCCATTTTGGAGCTTTAGATAAAACTTTTGAGTTTATCTCATAACCAAGTAATAGCTTCTTTTATAACTTATTTACAAATAACATAACTAAAGTAATTCTAGTAATTTATTTCTTTTTTGAAGAATTTCTTTTGGAAAGCAAGATTTTTTTTTGCTATTTTATTTTGTTTTAAATTTTTAAGTGTAAACTACTTGCCTCAGAACTACCATGTAACCACAAGTTATCCCCTGGCCTATCCCCAGCAATACAGCAAAAGTTTGCTATAATTCATATGTTACCAACCTGGCAACTGACTCTGCTAATGAATCAGACAGTCAGTGAATAAAGGTCAGTTATTATTCTTCGAGGACTATAGCACACCATGATGATTGATGACATCCAGATGTGACTCTAGTCTCGGTCACAACCTTCAGTTTAACAGATTAATTCCATCTGTATTTATGGCACATATTATGAATGCATTATTAGTTGCAGCGTTAAAACGAAACTGAGCAAAAATATATACCAGCCTTTCTCAAATCAGTAGAAATGCAGGAATATTGTACATATTTAGGTTTGAAAAAAAGGATATAAAAGATTTGTATGCAAAACTACGCTGCTCCGCGTCTACAGATTTTGGCAGAAATTATCTTGGAAATTTTGCTGAAAATTCAACATTTTGATCATCGCTATTTTTTTTCTATAACAGTGCAATTTAAAAAAAATATATCTCAATTTAAATAATTTTTAAAAATATCTCTTCCACCCTACTACCATAGCTACGACTGATAGACAGTGTTTTAGCTTTCCTTATTCACAAAATCTAAAGTACATAACGTAACACCACTGCTTTTTCTTTTTTTAGAATTAAATAAAAACTAACCCATGCTGATTTATTGGCTTTCTCCCTAACAGCCCCTGGCAACACTCACCATCTTGCAAAGCGCAACACCGAAAAGACAAAGCAACGGAAGACGGCTTCCTTTAATAATGCTTCCCAGCATGCTCTCGGAGAAAAGACGCGGGAAAGGGAAGCCTAGCCACTCAACATCCGATAATGGCAGGAAAGCGCCGATAGTCGCTTTGTCCGTAGAGAGATAGGTCGTGCTAGCCCTTGATAACTCTATGATAGAAATGATAGACGTTCCCCATGGGATCCTTAAGGTTGTACGATGCAGGTGTCGACTCCGCCTTCTCTAAATAACAATGTCACCCGCGCGCTCTGAGCCGGCATCTTCGATTTGATCGGATAAGTCACGTGGGAGAATACAAAGCAGCTGTTTTGAGACGAGCGACTCTATTATAAGCTGAAATTGGAGATTGGTTATCGGTTGTTCGTCGTTTAGTTGAATTCATAAAAGTACAATTCTTATTAAGCTGCGCATGGCAAATTTCTACGATTTGTTATTTATGAAATAAAGCGAAAAGATATAGGGAGCACGTTATTCCGTTAAAATAAGCGGGTCTAGGACGAACTGTACTTTGAAAAGAGTAGCTTGGGGTTCCTTAAATTTCTTATGTGGTCGTATTTGCTCCAAATACGATCGGAGCTGTGCATCTAGGAAACTTACTGCAATGCGTGGATTGTTTAATCTTCTGTTGCTGTGAACTTGCAAAGAATGATTTAAAAAAACGTATTACACAGAACCGTGCATGTGATTTGCTGAGAGTTTTTAGTAATGGTTACTAACGGAATTATTGTCGCATCAAAAATTGACCCCCAGATAATTGGAATCAGAACCAATACAGCCAAATTCCAGCCAAGTACTTAATATGTGGATATGAATAGTAAATTTCATATGATTTTTTTCTAGAAAAGTTTTTTTTTGCTTACCCTTGATTCTGTATCTGTTCAATGAAAATTACACAATATGCATTAAATATTAAGAAATCAAAGACAACCATTCATCCTTAATTACTTTACAGTTTATGATGAAGAGAAGGTGATAGTTTTCTTGGCAGAAATATGGTGGGATAGTAACGGAATTAATTTTAGGGAGTAATTTAGTGGCAAGCATAGGCAAGCTCATAAGCTAAAACAATTGCATGGCAACTAAAATCAAAATAGGTCAAATAGTATTTTTCCACTTGAGAAAGAATATTCTGTCAGAATTTAGCTACAAAGTTTTGCATCATTTGCAAAAAGAACCAATGAACTGATCCTGGAAGAAATATACTGATATTTAAGGCAATGATTAGCAAATAGAAACTTGGAGGAATGATGCAAGCATATGAGGAATTAGAAAAAAAACTACTATATGACAATGGGAAATGGAAGACAGTAGATGGATGACATCAAAAAGATAACCTGAATGTTTCTGAAAGCTCAAAATTCCTGCTAAAGACAGATGGAGAGGGCAAGCACTTCTTATACAGTTTCCAGAAACTGAGCTTGATGTTAATGGTGGTACCTAAAATGTTCTGTCATTCTATTGTATTTCTTCCGTATGATGCCTACACTACGATACAAACCTATATGTGTCTACTCAGGAATAAGCCTGAATAACACCAGTGGTACTTATGTTCAGGTAGGTGCATATGATTGTAGATGTAATGTAATGTAATGACAGTCGTGTTCCTCTGTAGTTATTTGAATTAGAGACTACAATAAGAACTTTGCCTAAAAGCACACATGTTGTGTGATCCTATTGGTATGCTTTCCAGAATGGCATGAGTTTACCCAAATTACACAGGAATTCTTTCAAGAATAATATAGCATGCTGATTATTTATGCTTCCTTACTGGCTGCCTGATAAGATATTTTAATAAATGCATCCATTATTAAGTAAATATGTGCACAGATAGTCCTTGACTTGTGGCTGATTGTTCAGCAATCTGTTGAAGCTATAACAGTTGTCCACAAAGGTATTTACAACCTGGTTCTGAAGCTACCCTTCTCCATGGTCATGTGATTGTATGTCAGGGGCTCAAGCTACTGTCCTACCTTTATGGCTGTTTGCAGCATCCTGATCATGTTTTACAATATTTTTGCCCTAGACTGGTATTTACTCTTGCCAAAAATGACCCACAGTGAAAATTGGTTCACTTTATGATTGCAACATTTGCTTTACAACCATGGCAATCGCTTTACGACTGCTTCAAAAAAGGTTGTAAAAATGAGTCTAGTCATATGGTGACCCACTCTATAACTGTCATGACTGATGATCATAATAGACCATTAGGGTTGTAAGTTGAGATTAGCCATAAAAGGATTTTCCCTTCCTTCTCCCCCCCACCATTATTTTCCAGATTGTCAAAATAAATGAATGAATAAATAAATGTATTTTAGAAGGGTCTTGGAGCTGCTATCATCTAGTATATCTTAATAGAACTTAATTACTCTACAACAATTTCCTCCAATCTCTGATATCATTTGTAGGTCAAAATATCTAGTACACACCATAATTTAGAAGCCAAATTCTGAATTTCCATGTTAGAATTAGGGTTCATTATCAGGTGTTTGTGTGATTCTGTGAATTTATGAAAAAATAAACTAAGATTGTGTTTCTATTCTTTATTATTTATTCTGAGTTCTCTTTTAGTATTTTCATTTGAGGTTTCTTAATTATGTAGTATCACAAAGAGGCAGATATAGACCTAAAATTTACATCCTGAAAAAAATGTTACATTATATTTTGGAAGTTATTCATACTTGGGAATTGATAATGAGTTAAATTCCTGTCTCTGGTGTAGCATGTCAGGTTAGGATGGAAGAAGAGAATCTTGGACTTTTCATTGAATCCAATGGAAATACTTTATTTTCTGTTTTGTGGCATTTTGTTAAATCAATGCTGAGAACAAAGTTAACTGCTTGATATTTATGTACCAAAACTTCAACTTTATTCATTTTTATATTTATGCTAATATACATGACAAGTCTAACAATTAGATCAGTATTGTATAAAACCACAGAAAAGTAACATTAAGTTATGCACATATGCTATTTTGGTATGTTTTTTGTTTTGCCAGCAAAAGGAATCTAATAGTAAACTTAGTCTGAACTGAGTAACTGTTATTTGAAAACAGGATAACACTGTAATTCGTCTTGTATTGAGTTCACACTGTACTATATCATTATGTGTGTGTTTGGGATTGCTTTTCCCTGTAGTATCTCTGAACACTGAATCCCTAGGCTGCTTTTTAAAATAAAGAACAGCTTCTACAATTCACGGCTATGAGCTGTGAGCTGTGAACTGTTGTGGCCAAAAGTGCCAAGTGCCAAGCTGCAAATGTGAGTATAAATATGCTGTGCATATTCACATTAGATCTATGTGGGGTTTGTTTGTTTTCCTTTTCTTTTTTGAAACTGATAAGAAAGCTGATTAACAGAAATAATATTTTAAAATGTTTGGTTAGAAAATTAGTAATTACAAATTTATTAACCAATCAAAAATCAGAATGCTGAACAAGGCAGAAAAGGGGAGAAAGAATCTCTTACTAATTCTATGTGCTTATTCTTTTCTTTTATAAATCAAAATATATTTTTTAAAAAGCAAATCAGGTGAGGAGAAAGGAGAGTGAAGAATCAATCAACAGTTATATTCTCATAGGCCCATGCAAGGCACCAGGTGCAAAACTTTAATTAATATGTTAGCAGCATGGAGAGGAAAGAAAACATGTAAGAATTTTATTTAAATGAGATTACAGGAAATAGTGAAAACCAATGCAAAGCAATGAAAGAGATGATAATGGAGCATCAGCTACACTTTTCTCATTCACAGTTAAATGATAAATTATTGCATATGGTTGGTCTAATATGTATTTACTATTTTATTTGTCAGAATTGATTGCACTGTTGCAACAAGGGTAAGGATGGTGATGATAGTTATATTTGCCACGTTCTATCTACAGTAATCTATGTTACCTTCATAACTGACGTGTTCATAGACTAGGAAGCTCATTTACCCTAAAGATGAAGAATGCTCAAAAACATAGTGATCAATTGCAGAAAGAGAAAGAAAAGAAAGAGAGAGAAAGAAAGAAAAGAAAGAGAGAGAAAGAAAGAAAGAAATAGAATAGAATAGAATAGAATAGCTGGAAGGGACCTTAGAGATCTTCTAGTCCAGCCCCCCGCTCAAGCAGGAGAACCTATACCATCTCAGTCAAGTGACTGTCCAGTCTCTTCTTAAAAACCTCCAGTGATGGAGCACCCACGAGGGCAAGCTGTTCCATTGGTTAATTGACTTAACTGTTATGAACTTTCTCCTTAGTTCTAGGTTGCTTCTCTCTTTTTCAATTTCCAACCATTGTTTCTTGTCCTGCCCTCTGGTGCTTTGTTGAATAATTTGACCCCCTCTTCTTTGTGGCAGTCTCTCAAATACTGGAATACTGCTATCATGCCACCCCTATTTCTTCTTTTTTTTAGAGTAGCCAAACCCAAGTCCTGCAGCCGTTCTTCATATGTTTTAGTCTCCAGGCCTTGGATCATCTTAGTTGCTCTTTGAACTTTCCCCAAACTCTCAACATTTTTTTTGTAGTATGGTGACTAAAATTGGTTGCAGTATTCTAGGTATGGTCTCACTAGGTTTTATAAAGCGGTACTAATACCTCACGTGATCTTGATTCTATGCCTCTGTTTATGCAAGCTGGGATTAGCTTTTTTGGCTGTGCTGCACATTGCTCATAGTCAAGTGATCATCTACTAGGACTCCAAGGTCCCTCTCACAGTTACTGTTTGGAACCAGGTCTCACCTAATCTGTACTTACATCTTTGATTTTTCCTGTATAAATGTAAAACTTTGCTTTTCTCCACATTAAAACTCATTTTGTTGGATGAGGCCCATTGTTCCAGTTTGTCAAGATCTTTTTGATTCCTGAATGTGTCTTCTGGGGCATTGGCTATTCCTGCCAGTTTAGTATCATCTGCAAATTTGATGAGTTCCCCTTCTATTCTCTCATCTAAGTCATTGATGAAGATATTAAAGAGTATGGGGCCTAAGACGGAACCTTGTGGTACCCCACTGCTTACTTCTCTCCATGTACCATTGAGGACTACTTGTTGAGTACAGTTTGTCAGCCAGCTACAGATCCATCTGGTGGTGATGTTGTCTATTCCACCTTTTTCTAAGTTACCAAGCAGTAGATTGTGGTATACTTTGTTGAATGTCTTACTGAAATCTAAGAATTATAGAGTTGGTTATAAAGTAAGTATGAGTTAGTAGTAGGGCTCTGAAGCCCTGCTTGGATTTGATGCCCAAAAGATTTCTTGGAATGCACATAGTGGCATGAATTAAACTCTTGTCTGCCATTCTTTAATATAATAACCATGCCTTTTTGCAGAGTTGCGTGGCAGCTGCTTTAAAGAGTTCCTGTCAGCCTTGTGAGTGCTAGCTCTACCTTTATTGTAAGGTTCCATTAACAAAATTTTGCAAGTCTGAAAGTGTATCTCCTCCTTCTGTCACCTTTATACTTCAAGAAACTAGGGAAGATTTTTTTTTCTGAGATGTTTATCATACCCACATTCCTTCTACAGGCTCAGCTGCCACTTCTCTAACTGATGTCTAGTCTGTGGTTCTTCCACCTGTCCCCCAAGGTCATTGCCAGATACCATTACTGTTACAGAGAAGACCTCAAGGCAGCAAATATAATGCTTCCTTTCCACAACAACCATGTAAGGTAGATTGGGCTTAAGGAGAATGATTGCCTGATGTCACTTTGGTTTCCCATTAAACAGTTAAGGGATAAGGTTGAGTTTGAAATTTGTAGCTAGAAATTTTGCTTCAAGCCGATAACAAGGTATGGTTTGTGAGAATAAGAATTAACCATTACAAACGATGTCATTCCTCCTATTTTATTAACTACAGTATTGCCAGTATTCTCTTTTTAAAGTGTTTTAATGTCATACAATTATTTTAGTGTTAGGGCTTTATATTCTTTTTTTTTAAGCACGGCTCCTCATTTAGTGACCAAGTTCCATTCTAAAGACCAGGTTATTAAACAAAATATTTTTTAATATACAGGGAGGGAGGAGGAGAGAAAGGGACTTTGAAAATCACTGGTTGCTGCTGTCTCACTTAGTTAAAATTTTCCTGTATCGCTGTAAAGGAGTTACTCTTACTCTAATGCGTGTTGAAATTCGGTTGTAAATGCATGCATTGGTTGGAAAATGATTTTTTAATAATTGTTTATTACTGTTGTATTTGCAAATGGTTACTAACCAAGGAAATTGCAAGGAATGGGTATATGGTTTTGTTTTTTGGCTGTATTTCTCTAAGCCCCCTAGAGCTGTTAAAAGCTAGGTAACATGTCAATTTTCTAAATAAAGTTGATTGCCTCATCTAGCTCTTTGATTCTCCCCAGAAGGATTCAAATGTTTTGAGGCATTCCTGGCAGGGAGAGTGTGTGTGTGTGTGTGGGGGGGGGGGGTTGTGAAATCTTTTTATCCAGGTTGTCTTGGAAGGAGAGATTTGTAATGGTAGAATGAAAATGTGAGGAGGAAGCTTCCTGAAGTGATGAAGCTTTAAAAATTTGCTTTAAAGCAGGGGTTCTCAACCTTGGCAACTTTAAGAACTCCCTAAAACAGGAAATG